TTGGACAGAGACTATGCATTGAGAAACTCCAGAAAGGCCAAGCAGAAGGTTCATCTACTTTATCCTTTCTCAACATGAGCATGAATATAGATATGGATACCGACATGGATATAGACACATACACACATACTCCTGGCTTTCATCTTAATATGAACCTGACTTATCTTTACAGTTTGTTTGGCTTTAGGAGGATGGTGACTCATTTCTCCCAAAGAATGCATTCAAAAGAAATATAGACAAGTGTCTTATTAGTGGAGTAGGCTTCATTTTAAAATAACAATTTATTAAATTTATTAAATTTACTGTATTCAGAGAATAAAGCAAAGAGCCAGGTATGTGGTGGAAGAAAACAATCTCCTGGATGGCCAAGACCTGTTCACATGTCCCTATGTACACATTAGGGACAATAATTAGCAGTTGATAAAATCTGGCAGGTAAATGGTCTCAGAGCACACTTTATCTTCCTATTTAATAACAATGAGACTCAAGTGGTCTTTACAGCTAAAAATGAACAACTACAACATCGCAATTTAGACAACATTGCTATTATTTTATCAACTACTGTATAAAATTTTAAAAATGAGCTAGTTATACTCTTTCATATGGCCTGAATTGAATTCTGATATTAGCAGCTTCATCTCATTTTGCCCATGTAAGTATCAGCACGCAAAAGTAACAAGCAAAACTCTGAGTCAGGTAAAACCTGAAGGTTTTATTGAGTCTGTACGGGAGCCAGACTTTCACCCTCTGTGATTCTAGTACTTGGCGCTGGAATTCACTCTGCAGGATGGACACTGGGATACCGGGCATCGGTCAATGCTAGGGTGAGAGGGGTACAGCCTTAAATAGAGGCTCCGGACACCTTTGTGGACTCTACTAATGGCTATCTAAGGTACAGCAGACAAGATCCAGTCATGTACAGAGAGAAGAGCCAGGTACAGTAAAGCATCCTTAGGCTTCACATCGACCATAGGCAGAGGAGGACAGCCTTGTGGGTACACATCACTAAGGCAGGGGTGGCTGAGTGAGAGGACTGGACACTCGGACCAGGCTATGCCACAGTGAGGTGAGTACTGCTGTGTCAGGAAAATACTTAAAGCCTTCAAGAGACTGAGCTTAGGATTTTGAGAGGGAATGACATCATGCTAGCTTTCAGAATGTTTGCCCTTTTATCTTTTCAAGTATGGCTATATCTACATATGTACACCCTTCAAATACTGGAGGTCAGGCCTCTATCCCCGCCTTCGCAAGTTTAGAATTGCCACAGCCCTTCTATACTTAGAGAAGGGAGGAGATGTCAGGGGCAGCCCTGCTTACCCACTGAAGGCCTAAAATTAGCCATAGGCCTAAAATCAGCAATAGACCTGTCATACATGTATACTAACACCAAGTCTTGGGTCTCAGTGGAAAAACATTGAAACAGATGGCTATAAGCTAATAGTAACCAGCAGCTTTTGTGGAAATTTACAAGCCTGAGTAGTCACAGACCTTGTAAATAGGTAGCCTGGGCAGACGATACCAACTTAGATAAGGACAAGCAAGTCATAGGCAGAGTCATAGTGACTTGTCTCCTGAACCTTCACCCAGCCGATACCCGGTTCTGATGATATCTGTATTCCCCCTGATCACCCACACTCCAGTGTCATTCCCTTCCCCACATCCTGCCTTTCTGTATTTATAACCCCTGTGTGAATGAATTACGATTTGAGAAAAAATAAATTATAAAAAAAAATGTGCAAAGTCTTTAGTCATCAGGAAAATGCAAATCAAAACAACTCTGAGATTCCACCTTATACCTGTCATATGACTAAAATAAAAAACTCAAGTGACAGCATATGCTGGCAAGGATTTGGAGAAAGAGGAACAAACCTCCATTGCTGGTGGGAGTACAAACTTGTATAACTACTCTGGAAATTCATTTGGCAGTTTCTCAGAAAACTGGGAATAGTTCTACCTGAGGACTCAGCTATAACACCCCTGGGCATATACTCAAAAGATACTTCAACATCCCCCAAAGACACTTGCTCAACTATGTTCATAGCAGCTTAATTTGTAATAGCCAGAATGTGGAAACAATCTAGATGTCCCCCAACTGAGGAATGGATAAAGAAAATGTGGTACATCTACACAATGGGATACTATACAGCTATTAAAAAAAGAGATCATAAATTTTGCAGGCAAATGGATGAATCTTGAGAATATCATCCTGAACGAAGGAACCTAGTTAGTCCCCAAAGGACATGCATGGTATGTACTCACTTATAAGTGTATACTAGCCATAAAATACAGGATGCCTATGCTACACTCCACAGACTCAAGGAGTCTGGACAGGAAGGAAGGTACAAGCAAGGACACTTGAGTCTCACTTGGGAGGGGGAATGGAATGTGGAATGGTGGAGGAAGACAGATGGAGGGAAGGAACTGGGTGGGAGAAGCAATTGGGATGGGTGTGGGGAGGGGCAGGGGGAAGGTCAGATGACCAAGAGAATGAAGGGAAATCTGAAACAGATGGGAGGCAGGGCATCTCCAGGAAGAAATGGAGGCCTGGAATAGGGGAGGCACCCAAGAATCAATGGGGGTGGCCTTAGCTGAGACTCACAGCATTGGAAATATGCAGCCTGAAGAGGCTGCCTCCTGTGACCAGGCAGGAGGAGCCTTGGTGGAGCGATAGGGACACCAAACCACCCACACAACTTTCCACCCAAAACTTAATCCTGTCTTCAAAAAATGCAAGAACAAATATGGAGCAGACACAAATATGGAAAGGGCAATCAATAACCAGCCCAACTTGAGACCCATGCCATGGACAAGCACCAATACCTGACACTATTAATGATACTCTATTATGCTTGCAGACAGGAGTCTAGAATGGCTGTCCTCTGAGAGGTTCCACACAGCAACTGACTCAGACAGTTGCAGACATCCACAGTCAAACAGTGGATGGAGCTTGTGGACTCTTATGGAAGAATAGGAAGAAGGATTGTGGCCCCAAAGGGGATAGGAACGCCACAGGAATACTAACAGAATCAACTAACCTGGACCCTTGGGACGATCAGAGACTGAACTACAAACCAAAGAACATACATAGGCTAGACCTAGGCCTACCCTAAAATATGTGCAGATGTGCAGCTTGGTCTTTATGTGGGTCCTGAACAACTGGAACAGGGGCTATCCTAAAAGCTTTTGCCTGTGTGTGGGATACGTTCTTCCTGCTGGGCTGTCTTGTTTGGCCTCAGTGGTAGAGGAAAAGCCTAGTCTCATAGAGACTTGAGACGTGAAGATTGGGGGATACCCTGGAGGGTCTCCACCCATTCAGAGGAGAAGAAGATGGGGGCATGGTGGAAGGGTTGTGGGAGTGGGTAACCAGAAAAAGAGGCAGTGAACAGAATGCAAAGTAAGTAATTTAAAATATATATATATAAAAGGAGCTTGATCCATTTCAGATAACATACACAAATAAGTTTAAACTGACATACATCAATATACCTACATACCTCCAAAATGGTAACCGTTTAAAAGGAAACATAAGAGAACATTTTGAGGCTGAATTAGGTGAAAGCTGTTTACCTAAGAGACTGAGACAAATGTGAACATAGTGTCTGTTGATGCAACCTACCGCCCTGTCAGATAACTCCCTCTATGCTCCAACCTCTGGCTGGTGGGATGTTTCTGTACCCACAGCCTTATCCTAACATTCATAATTCCTTCAGCTTGAGAATTCTGAATATGGTATATAGAAACACAACCAAGGGCTGTGTGGCTTTGCCTTTAGCAAGCAGAGCTAAGTGTAACTAAGCAGTGAGAGGCCAGAGAGATGACCTGTTACCCACAATAACCTGCTGGACAGTTGTTTCTTTCAGTTTTCCTTTTATTGTTTTTAATCACGTGTGTGTGCACACACGCATGCATATGCACATGCATGTACGCATACACACATACACATACACACACACACACATGCTGCACACATACACACACACACACACACACAGGTGCATGCAGAGTCCAGAGGTTGGTAGATTCCCCAGAGCTCAAATTACAGGTAGTTACAAACTTGCACCATTGGAGGAAAGAGACAGGAAGCTCTCAGAGGCTTGGTGGCCAGCCATGTTCAGTAAAAAGTCGTCTCCCCCCCCCCCAAAAAAAAAAAAAAAGATGAGAGACAGACATTATGTTCTCTCTCTTTCCCCCCCTGTTTCTCTTTCTCTCTCTGTCTCTGCCTCTGTCTCTCTCTCACACACACAGACACACACACACGAGGGGGGGGGGAGAGAGAGAGACAGAGACAGAGAGAGACAGACAGAGAGACAGACAGAGACAGAGAATAATCTTTAATGGAACAGATTCCTATTTGAGTCTAGCCTATATCCACAAACCTTCATCAAATTCTACACTTACTTTTGATTCCTCAATTGTAGCTAATTTTTCTTCCTAAGCTACTAAAAAGCTGCTCCCATTTTCCAAGTTTTATGTCATAAGCATCACCAAAAAGTATCTTACAAACATGACTGACTATGGCATGTCCATAAAAGCTCTTCAAATGATGGATTAATTAATGTAAAATAGCTTAGTGTTTCGGCTTTTAAAAACATTAGAAATTTCAAGCAGAAACCGGTACTTGTACAGAATTATTAAAAACTCCAAAAATTAACAGGTTGTTTCCCTGTTAGTGGAGATATATTTTGTTTGTATGTATCTATTAAAAAAATAATTTTAAAATCTGAACACCAGCTATCTCTTTGCTTCTGTAGCCTTGTCTACCTTAATATAATCCAGAAATGGAACTAAGAGTGATCGTGGATTAAGGGGAAACTCACGCAGTGTAGGCCTTTGGCCATGTTCGTGGTCTGTCATAAAGTTCCCAAACTACATTTATTCAAGGGTACTTGTTCTCCAAGATACATCAAGGAGCACGAACAGCTGACAGCTGATAGAGAAAAGCCCACAGTCTGGAGGGAGGCAGGTGGGGTGCTGGTGTGTGGAGGGCGCACAGTCAGTACCTGAGCATGCAGCAGCTCCTCACACCGGTGAGCTTGTTTCTCGATTGCAGACACATACTGCTTCTCGATGGCATCTAGCTGCTGCTTAACTGAAGACTGCAGAAGTGCCTAGGGAAAGAAAAAGAAAAAGCTTGGATCAGACAACCTGGAGCTGACTGCTGGCAGGAGACACTCTGACAGCTCTGCATCTCAAGTAGGGCAATCTGCACTCCAGAACCCACACACACGACAGCAGGGTGCACTGACACGGGACATTAAGCATCTATCTTTAGGTTTTATTGCTGCTAATACTACACTCTTTTGGCTTGGATTCTACACACCTTCTCCTTAAAAAAGTCAAGCCATAGAAAATGATAAAGAGAGTAAATAGTTTTGTTAAATAGCAATTCAGTTCAGCAGAGACCACACAGGATGAAGAGCAAATGAAAGTTGGGGGCGGGGGGTAAGGGGAGGAAGAAAAGCCAGACATATTTCACTGGCTGACAAAACTCCACATCCTCTGGGCACACTGCAGTGCCCATGGGCCAAGCATGATCTTGGAGACCACAAGGCAAGTGGAAGCAGATGGAGGCTCGGAGCAACTTCACTGAAGCCTGCCCCCCAGGATGTTCATGCCCCCAACATGAAAGGGTGGAGGCTGGGTATGTGTGAGCCCGCCATAAAGCAGTACTCGGAGGGCCAGCAGGGCTTATGAGACAGAACTGTATAATGTGGACACGGGAAGCCAGGAGAGGACATGAGAAAGTCAAGTCGGCAACTGGCGGTGCCAACGGCCCTGGACGTGTTTACATGCCAACTCTTCTTTCCTCTGCTAAGCACTGTGTGAGTCTAACATGTTTCCATAATGTCTTCTTATGTGCTATTTATAGACTCTTAACATCCTAAACGTGCATAAGGGCTCTTTAGCACACACTCTGTTGTGAGACCTATGCTATAATAAACTACTCACAGTCAGAACAGCAACTGAAGGCAGACACATCTTATGGGAAACAGACCTTTGGCATATTCGCCAGCAGAAGAAAAGTGAGCCAAATCTCTTAATCTTTGTTTTGAAAATAGACTTATTCAGTTGGAAACAACATGCATCAAAATCCTAAATAAATAGGCATGCATTTATTTTTTTTTTTTACAAAACTAAAAATACTCTGGATAAGTCTCAGATGCTCAGGAAAAAAAAAAAATTGTTTCTTTTGCAATGGGAGCTGTGAGGTTGCTGTCCCAGCTCCATTTCAGGTCTGAGCAGAGCAACAAGGGTGAGGGCCAGTGCCTGCGGGAAGGAAAGGACACAGGGCTCCCTCAGTGGGAGTGCTCCCTGAAGCTGCCTCAGAGAAGGAATGGTGGACAGACAAACCAATATTAAGCCTCTGAGCTTGGACTAGATGCTGTAAATCTCTAATTTTCCTCTCACAAAATTTAATATTTATTAGATTTTTAAAATTTTCTTTTCAGTGTTTTGTTCTGTTCTGTTTTGTTTGAGACAGGATCTCACTATGTATGTAGCCTTGCTAGGCCTGTGAAAGAGGTGTTCTCACCTCCCTACTTGCCGTGGTCCAAAACTACCCCAAATTTAAACGACTAATTCTAATTTCTGGTCAGTTATGTTTTCAGGAAGACAATAAATAAAATAGCCTCTTCCCATAGTGGAGCCATCATCTGAACAGCTGCCTGCTTTTACCTACGAGTTATGCTATTCCTCTTCTCTGAACGTAGCTTTTGAGAAGGTAATGCTCGAGAACGGAAAGTAAAGCCACAGGAGACAGGCCAGCCTCCCTCCCAGCTGCATACACTCCTATCCACATTACACTTTCTGCCTCACAGAGCGCAGAAAGACCATCGCCCTGATATGCAGTGTGGGTGTCAGGGCCTGCCCACAAGGCTCAGCACAGCAGCTGGTATGAGGAAGCCAGGGGCCAGAGGAGGCAAATGCAGAAAGTGGAGTTGGGGACAGGGTAAGCAGGAGCCACAGGGAACTCTTCCCGACTGTCTCCAGTTACTGAGCAGAGGGGCTGCTAGTGCCTCGGTCCAGGCAAACCAGGGAAACTCCCGGAAGCCATTCTCCCATCTCGGGTTTTATCCGTGGTGGACACGGGAAGGAAGACACATCCACAGCAGCTGCTTGTGTTTCTGGCTTCCTGTGTTACTATACAGAACAGCAGTTGTCTTCCTATGAGATGCTCATGGGCTTTCTGTAACTCATCTTCTGCAATCATCTTTACGGATAACTTCATGGAACAAAGGCTTCAGTCTGGATGTAAGGTTACTAGTTACTATATCCTGGTTCCTGAGCTGGGCAGAGGCCATCCAGACCCCATATGCTCATCCTCTGAATAGAAGGTAAGAGCCTCAGGAGTGACCACTGTATGTCTGAGGAGAACTAATAAAGATTTGATTCTGTCATTAAAAAAAAAAATAGGAAAAGAAAAAGGAAAAAAACCTTATTGTCTAAATTTCTTAACAACTCAATTGAGCCATCAAAGTTTCTCCGGTTTTTCCTTTTTTTTTTTTTCTTTTTTTTTTTCTTTTTCTTTTTCTGTTTTTAAAGAAGAGTGCCAGCAAGGTCATACAGAGGCTGCTGAAGATGTCTGTTACCATGGTGGGTGTGTGGAGAAGTGCTGGCATGTAGTGTGTGTGTGTCAGGGCCCGCCTGTACAGGCTTTTCTGTAGACTGAGGACCAGTGTAGCATTAATACACAATTCAAAGAGAGAAATGTTAGCTGATGGGCGTGGATCTTAGCAGAAATTCAATACAGTCTAGCCATGTTATAAAATGTTCTGGAGGCTTCGAAGGCCAAAGAAAACCATCAGGACAGAGGGAATGGTTCCTGCTGGCCTTGTCGTTACAGGATTCTAGTAACATAAGAGCCATTACCTCAAACACCACAGAAGTCTCCCAGTGAAAATTTCTTTTGTGCCATGGACAACACATTAAAATTAAGAAGTTTCTAAAATTAAGCACAGTGCAGAGGCTATTCATGTCTTCCTTCCAGATACCTCAACCTTCGGAAAAGCTGCCATGTGGGCTGGCCTCCTTCTGATGCCACAATCTTGTTCCTTGTGACTTGAATCACAACTACGGTTTCAGTTGGAAGAACAAAGAAAGGAAAGCAAGAGCTACTTCTGCCTGAAACAGCCTCCTCCTACTCCTGAGTCCCCAGAGGACTGAGAGAGGTACATGGTCACTAGAGCAGGAAGCCGGTGACAGCGGGGAAGGCAGCATTGGGGGGGTCATCTGTGGGACTGGAATGGACAGGTCTGAACTTCCCAAGCACAAGCAAGTCCTTCATCAGTTCAGGAGGGATCTGGCTCTTACTATATAATCCCTCCTCCATCTGTTCACCTGCATTTATCATCATTATGCCTCTGTTTCCCTATGTTGCTGTGGTAACTGGGAAGGCCTGCAGACCCTGCCCCCTTAGTGATGATGCTTTCTCTTAGGATGGTGGCACAGTGTCACCTTCTGCCTTCTTATTAATGAAATTACACAATGGGACTGCTCTAACGTCTTCCTGAGAGAATCGTGGTTTAGGTTCCACACTGTATTTCATGAAATGGACTCTCAGAACCAAGTAGTGTCAGCATTAATTTTAGTAATCATTAGATTTAAAGTCATTACTTCTTCCAACTTGGTGGGATCAACTCATGAAGTACAGGTCTCTGGGGAAATTAGAAAATGTCTCTCACATTGAACCTTTACCAGTACTGAGAACTGAGAGGCTGGCTTCAAATCAGCTCATCAGAGCAGCATCAAAGACACCTGCCTTGAAGTGAGGGGCAGAGTTATGAGGCAACAGCAGATGATGGAAGTCACTTCAGTAAGGGCAGGGCCGGAAACCATCGAAACCTGTTGACTTGGACTCTCTGAAGTCAAGATCAACTCTGCCCAGAACTCAAGCTTCTCCAGGAGTTAGGAGTGGGCCACGTGGCCTGCCAGTAACTAGCACAGAAGAATCCCACGTTTGAATAGTGTGAGGTGGCATGGCAGCCTTGCCATCAACCCAAGCTGGCCTTTACCAGTGACTTTCTAGATGGGGGAGGGCCACATAGATATCCCATAAAAACATGAAACCAATGTGTTCTGCTACTGAGAGTAGGACAGAGTCATGGGTTGCTCTTCCAATGAAATTCCTTCTCATTGCCACAGAGAACCTTACAACCCTTCATAAATCAGAGACAAGGAGACTTGAAGTTCCTACCTCTAAAAGGATAGTCAAATATTTTCCAAATTATTCATTGTGTGTGCTAGCATGCATCCACCAAAAAAGGCCAAGTAACTTTAGTAAGGCAAATCCTTTAATATTATATAATTGTATAGAGTATTCTATGTTCTCACACACCAAGTGTACACAAAAAGCTGGCCTGAATGTAAGGATTAAAATACAACTTGGCTTCTCTGATCTCAATAGTGGGTTACATACTACTTAGAACCAAGATAGACAGTTAAAGGGTTTTTTACAGATCATTACATCTCTGCTGTCTGTCCTCAGGGTCTTTTATACAATAAAGAACAAATTTAACCACTTCTCTCTTATATCTGTCAAACAGGCAAAAAATTTCAAAGAAAAATGCATTCTTGTAGATGGAGCCCTTTACAGAGTTGTCTGTAACATATCCTTGTCTGCAGGTGGAGTTCAGTTGAGTGTAAGAATCGTAAACTCTCATCAGTGTCCTCTCTGCTGGCGATACCCGTGCCATCTGTTCCACACAAAATGGAACATTATTGACACATGAACAATGAGTATGTATTACAAACATGTCCACTCTTTGTCCAGGCTGATTCCTGTGTCCCAGGCACTTTCTCAGTTGAGTCCACAGACCTGCACTCCTGAAGGCTCAAGGACTTCAAGGCTGACACACGACACTAATCAGGGTCCGCAAAAAATGTGATTTCATAGATGCTCCTCCTAAAGTATTAGCTGAGATGGGCACTGTTGGATCAGCTTGGATTTCCAGCTGTGCACTCCATCAGAACATGCCAGGACTCAACCATGTGAATAAGGAGACTGGGAATATAGCTGTGGATTCAATGTCCTGACCAGTTACCAACAGAAGTCTCAGGGTAATAAGCAGTAGCTGGCCATCTGTCCTATAAGGTAGAATAAGATGGACAT